GTATTAGTCCATCACTTTATCTATTACACCACACTGGGAATCCCTAGCAGGCATTAAAGGCGGATGTGATTTGCAGTCCAACAATATCTGAGGACACAGGTTTCCCACACTGAACATTTTGAAAACTCTAGATTCACAAATGAGAGTGAAACTTACCCACATAAAGCAACTGCTTCAATTCCCACAGCTCTCAAGCTGCTTCTAATACTGCTGTATCCACAGCACTTGCTTCGTGTCTCCACATTTGACAGACACTTTTCAGCCTGTACACTAGGAGTGGGAAATGTCAGATGATGTTGGACTGGAGCTCCCATCATGGCTCTTGGAAGTGTTGAAGTGAAGCCATAAATATCATCTTAAGTTCAGTGGGAAAGGCAGGATATAAAGCAATTTATTTCTAATAAACCATTGAAGATGCATCAGGCCATCCATTATTATGAGTCAAGGTGAGATATGGGACCCTTTAAGCTACAAGATGGCTCTTCTTCCATAGTATAACACAGCTTTGATTGGAAGTCAATACTTGTTTGAAGCTCAGGGTAGGTTAATGTGTATTATAGTACCTTCGTGCACATACTTTGATAGATGCATGTTCCTTTTCTACCAGCTTACACGTATCAAAAAGCACAATTGACTAAATAAAGATGAAATTGCAAAAAGATCAGAATGAATTGCCTAGTCGGCACAAGTATCTTTCTTCTGACAAAGATATAACTTTATGCTTATTCTCACAAGTTGGATCTGGGCATAATTTGAAAAGCAGGTACTCAGCAGTGTGTGTGGGGTGTTGACACCAGCTCTGGCAGTGTCTGGACCAGACTATGAAGAGCCTGTTTTATGTTGGATACTACTGGAGAGAAGAACATCCATTGTGAGGGATTCGTCAACTGGTTTAGGTTTATTCCCAAAGAAATTGATATCATTCAGGGTCTTACATTATTTACAATCTTGGCTTTCCTTTTTCCAAAACCTTTGAAAATTCATAACTTCAATGTCATTTGTCTCTTATGCCATACTCAGAGTGTTCAAGAGAACCACATATTATCTTTTTATCTATGGCAATGATTCTAAGTTTAATATTTGCAACCACTATCATAACTTTCAAGGGACGTGGTGGCGCTGTGGGCTAAACCGCAGAAGCCTGTGCTGCAGGGTCAGAAGACCAAGCAGTCGTAAGATCGAATCCACATGACGGAGTGAGTTCCCGTCGCTTGTCCCAGCTCCCGCCAACCTAGCGGTTCGAAAGCATGCAAATGCAAGTAGATAAATAGGGACCACCTCGGTGGGAAGGTAACTGCGTTCTGTGTCTAAGTCGCACTGGCCATGTGACCATGGAAGATTGTCTTCGGACAAAACGCTGGCTCTATGGCTTGGAAACAGGGATGAGCACCGCCCCCTAAAGCCGAACACGACTGGACAAAAATTGTCAAGGCGAACCTTTACCTTTACCTTATCATAACTTTCACAGCACCTCTATTCTGTATTAAGACTGGAAGGGACTGACTTTTCTGAAAGTTTCCAATTGCCCCATGTCTCCAAATACCAACATATTGGACTTGCTATTTCAGTGAGTTTCACTGCCACAACTTCACAATAAAGTGGCATGTCTCTCCATTGAGAAATGTAGGCAGTCCAATAAGGAACACCCTTTGTTTAACAGTAATTTACTGACCACCATTACGTTGTTCACTATGTTGTTTATCCCACCAAACCTGAAAACCTACCTTACATATAACTGCCTGGCATTTAGAGATTTCTGCTGTTTCAACCACTGATCCTATTTGATGTGGATATGAGTGACACAGGAAATGTGTGACACATGTCTACATGGGAAGGGTTGGCAGTCATTTTTATTTTCCCATGCACTTAAAAAACGACGCAAAGAAGTAAAACAGTTGTGTTGAGTATAATGTTCTGGCACTGCTCTGGCAATGTTCTGAACAGAGCAAGTATTAATGTTACTATGCCTTTATATTTTAAGAATGCTAAGCTAAAGCATGGCTTACTTGCACCGGACTACTTGGTTTTTCAGAAACTGTCCTGTTGTGCTGGGGTAGCTCATGTGAAAATTTAAGGAGTGTGTGAGACTCCCTTCCATTCACAAGCTGCCTATTCTATTGTGTGCTACATATACTTTTTAAACTTTCTTTACAAGGGATCTCTTCACTCTTGCCTTGCAAGAGCTGAGAATGCCACCTGGGACACACACCGGCACTTCTGCAGCTTTAGTAAGAATGGTGGTGGCAATGCAAATGGTTTTCTTCTGTTGCTTATACTTGATTGTCCACTGTGCCTCCAGCCCCCCTATACATTTGCCAGTCCAGAATAATCTCATGGTTATGGAAATCAAAAGTCACCAGGAAGTCCAGGAGAATCTGAAATCTTGCAGTTCTGTCATAAATGCTTAACATGTAAGTGGGTTAATCTAAAGAAGCAGAACTCAGAGAGGGGTTATGCAGGCAGAGGTAAGCTTGATTCTGAGTGGAACCATCAGGCATCTATTCAAGTGTGTTTTCTTACATATGAGTGAATGATTGCTGTTGTTTCCTATGAGAAAAAAATTATGTTCTTGAGAATGGTATGGTGATGGAGAAATCTTGTATATTACTGCTTATATTGTATGTGGGGCTACATGCCTTTCAGAAGAAAACAGTTAACTTTCTCTAATTTTTATATTGCTGTGGAGATTTCAACTACCTCAAAGTCTGAGATAACTTTTTTTCCTAGCCCAGTGTATCACCAAAATGTAACATGCAACTCAACTGGAAGAGAGACTATGATGTTCTTTCTCTGCCTTTATCTTAAAACAAGCCAGAAGATTCTTCCTCTGAAAAAGACCACAGGGCACTTGCCTGAACCTCTCTTTAGAGAGAGACTCTGTTAGTGCTCATCCCAACCAGTGCAAACTGACATTTCAACCCCTCTGCTCTTTACCAACTTCCAGCTACAGAAAGATAGGACATGGCCAATAAACCACACCCATTTTTTTATTTTTTCACATAATTTTTATCCTCTACTTTTTGTACCATTGTGCTTGATAGAAGAGTTTTAGTCAACTTAAAAGCTCGTGCTGTCTTTACCCCACCTTTGCAATGTTTTGGTGTTCCTAATGAAAGTATTAATGACCCAACACTGTGACCATTTTAATGTTGTACTGTATATCAGTAATGCTAAAAAGCAGAATTGATGTTTAAGAAAAAATGTTCACCTAAGGATCTGATCAAGATGCAGATTTCAGAATCAGAGCTGAAGGTACAAACATATGCAGGAAAAAAATCTGGCGCGTCGGATAAGTCAAACTGAAAGCAAACAAAAGCTGCTTAATAATAGAAAATTGTTAGGTTGGGCTGGGTTAGACAATGAGTCTAGAACCAATTTAATTCAATGTGTTTATATGTGTTTATTTTTACTTGGTCTTAACTGTTCTAAATTTAGTGGTCTCCCCTGAAAGCATTTTCTCCAACTGTTTTAATTGGACACATTACTGATCTTATATTGAAAAAAAATTCATTTCAGGAAAACTTTCCTCAGGCGTACTTATTCTTCATCTCACAATGAAGTTTAATTCACACTACCCAGTAGAGAGTTAACTGTCATGGTAATTAGGAACCAAAGGTTAAATGGCTTCCATCAGTATATGGCCTGAGAATCTCTGGGAAATTGTCCACTGATATTTTAGGAAGACTAGTCTACACGTCATCCCTCCCTCCCTTCCGCTTCTTTTTCTTTGGGGGAGGGAGGCCACTCCTGTCATAGGTCTACACTGATTGCTTACAGATGGCTTTAAAATTAGCCTAATGGCTGCACATTGCCCACACCTCCTAGAACAGTAATCACAACCTACTGAGAACAATAGTTCACAGAATATTGTTCAGTTCAAACTAGCTAATTATAACATATTTGGATTTAAGTGAGCAGCAAAGCTTGAACAACTTTTTTATATAGGAAGAGGCAGATACTAAACAGAATGTCCACCACTTTTGTTCCCTACTTGTGAACTTCCCCTAACATGACTTTGCTCTGATCCTGCAAAGCAACTGTCTATTCTCATTTAAATACAACAAACATGTTTTTATCTATACATCTGTTGTAGCTGTTGAAATGGAAAAGCAAGGTTAAACGCAAATCCCCTTGTTCACATGTACCTCTTCTCTCAGCATCTGTAACAGATTCTTTCTGTGTAAATTTGTTTGTAATTGAATGATGAAAAGGTATAAACAGAAAGAATGTTTCTTCCTCTTTCCCAAGAACAGGGCAGTGACAGGTGGTCACAAACATCCTATCAAAGGCACCGACTGAATTAGAAAGAAACAGTATTCTTCAGGAACACAAGCCTTTGGAGAGGTAGAAGGCATCACTATGCATACTTTGGTAAACTCTGGCATTTCTTGTTTCTTGGAGGCTGAACACGCTTTATTGTGGATCTTTAAAGGTTACAGAACCACAACACAGGATTTTAATGTAATGCGTTCCCACCCACCCCAGGTGGGATTTTAGCATTATGTGAATATAGTTCATGAAACTAGCCCTCTAAAGCTGCTTTAGCTCCAAGGAACAGAAGCACTTGAACCATTCTAAGGAGTAGGAAACATCCATCCACTGTAGTGTGTTATAGGCCATGAAAGCTAATGTTGTAATAACTTGCTTAATCTTTAAGATGCCAGAGTGCTTTATTGGTGCTGTTGCAAGAGACTCACACAGCTGCCATTTTGGAAAATGGAAACAGAGTGACATTAGTTTGCCTTAAATGTAACTTATATGTGCAACAGAAGTAGCAGAGTGGAGTGACTACTTCAGGATGCAGGTGGCAAATGTTGGAAAATTCCCCTATACTGTATACAGTATTTAACTCTCTACAAGATAAAATAATAATAATAAATATTCTAGCCTTGCTGGGAACATGAGGTCAAGACCAACATATCTTCATCAAACTAGTTTTCACCTTGAAAAATAATTCCCAGTAGGGGAATGTCAGAAAAACACAGCTCTCACATTCAGTCTGAAGTGGTTACAATCCTTTTATTCTACCACCTCAGACTGACAATCACTTCAATCCCAATTTTGTTGTATGTGTAGAATTTATTTGCTGTCCAGAGTGACTAAAGAAATACACCAATTCATGTCCAATGTTTGCCTTTTTCTGTAACATCTCAGGTTTAAGACATAACTGTTTATTATGTACCAATACTGTATTTATATTTAAATAGCAGTTGTTTCAAGGAAAAAGTCATTTCTGAAAGGTGCTCTTTGAGGCAGATAAAACGTGTGTCTGTGCACATGCGTGTGCATGCATGCGAGCATGAGCTTAACCCTTCCCTCCATCATTCCAAGATGGAAATTCTCAACTAGTGGTCTTTCCCATTCTTTCCTACTGAATCTCACATGCTACAAGAAAGGCAGGGGCTTTTGGTTAGTCACTTTGCAAGTGGCAAATGGACCAAGAAATATCTTATTCCCACTTCTAATGGCCAAAATATATCCACAATCAAAAGGACAGAGGTACATATTATGGGCAAAGGAATTCCTAAGCCAAATACTTCATTTACAAGTCATATTTATTCCACTGTAAAAAGTCAACTGACCCCATATATATATATACATGTATGTATATATACACACACACAGTAGACACTGGCTTCAGTTCCAAATGGGATTCTGCAATAAACGTGGAGAAAATTAGCCTAATGCATAAGAGGAAGGAAGCACTACATTTACTCTCTGTTTTGTTTTGTTTTGTTTTTGCTAGGAGGCTAGTTCTGCTGAATTGGAATGACAGTCTTCTAATGTGAGAGACTGCTAGCAAGGACTGTAAAGAAAATTTAGCAGCCCATTCCCCAAACAGCTATAGTATACACAGCAGAGGCAACTCCCTACCTAAATCCAGAAACCTTTCACCCCATCAGGCACTATTTACCTTACTCCCACTATCTCACTAGGAGCCAACAAGCACAAGTTTATAATGCTTGGAGCCCAATCCAACAGGACTAAGTGACAGGAGCAGAACATCCAATGCAGAAGGTGGCCAAGATGGTATTGCTCACTAAAGCACTCACAGAGCGATACTGTGCTGCTCCAAGCCTTTCCCACATTCTTTGATTTTGATTCCAGCTCCTCCCAGAAGGCCTGCCGGTAACATGAAAGTATCCAGCCTGAAGCCCAGAAGAGTTGATGTGTGGCCTTAGGAAAAGCTATGTTCTGAGCCAGTGCCAGAGAACACTTACAAAAAGCAAAGCAGTATACCCATACTGGAGCTCCTTGGCTTGATATCTGAAGTGATCTGGCTCTTTTGCTCTTTGCTGCAGGTAGCTTCTGTGGATCATAGACAGCAGAAGGTCTATGCTGAAAGACTGGCTACCACCCTTTAAAGAGAAGATTAACTGGCCATCACACATAGATTCCCTCTGCCAAAGGAGCCAGCAGCTCTAGAACAGATAACCTGGGAGGATGATTTTAGCCTTAGATCCACTGAGGAGAAGAGCCGCTGTGAAAAGGGGGCTGTTGGTCTCCCCTTACAAACATGGCTTCTACCAGATAGTGCAGGCCAAAATCTTTTACCATCATCACCCCTACAGCCATATGTTCTTTTTTTTTTTACTCCTCTCTTCAATTGACTTCAGAAGTTGTCATGGAATCAGTTGGCCGTTGGGAGGCTAGGAGTGGCACAGGGGAGGTGGCCTCTATGAGGGCTGGATTGAGAATAATAGGCAGAGTCATGGGTGGCACTCCCACCTGTAATGGGGAGGCCAATGGCTGAAGAATAAGAGGCTGCTGTGCCATTGTTGGAGGTGCATCTTTTCCTGTGCTCACTTTCACAGGTGCTGCTGGAGGGAGAAACTGTGGTCCAGAGAGATGGGAGGAGCTTGGCCCAGACCCTGTGGCACTCTCAGAGTCTGCAGAAAAAGAATAGATAATTAATTATTTCAAAAGAGACATTAGGCTTCAACTAGTAATTCCTAACACTTCCCTAATGTCTCACTAAGACTTAGCCTTGCTTAAATTTTAACTGGTCTGTCAGGAAGCTCCATGTTTAAATGGCTCTGTCTCTTGTTCCTTGATGCTCCCCTACACTGGGACCTCCTTCCAGAACACAAATGCTACCTCTCTCCTTTAGAGTCTTCTTCAAAACTCACTTTGCAACTGAAATATTTGGCTTAACATCTAACTGAAGCTTAAGTATAACTTTATTTGCTTTCATATGTTTTGTATTACAAGGAAGCCTATCTAGTTCCATCTCTGATGACTTTCTGGTGGCAATCAAAAGGGATTTTATTTAAACAGGTCTTCATCCTCATTAACCTAGTCATGGCTCCTGTAAATAAGCAATCAGCTGGTGGTTTTCTGTATTTTGTTTAATTTTGGCTTTGTTTTGGTTGATGCTTTACCTACTTGCTTTTACATTCTGCTTTCTATCAATAGTTGCCAACAGCACCATTTAGTGGAATGTCAGGATGCAAACTTTATAAATAAATAAAACAATCCCCACTTATTTTTGCTGGATTTCCTGCAGTATCAGACTGTAAGCTACCTGTGATAGGAATCTTCCTTCCTTTCTTCCCCCCCCCCGTGTTTATATTACAGGAATGGAAATCCATACAGGGTCTGGGGCTGCAGCCACCACATTTGCTTCCGCTGCTTAGACTCTACCTATCTGTTCTTATAAAGCTAGCAGTGTCCAGAAGATCACTTCTAGCACTTGGGTTAAATAAGGTGGGCGACAGTAGTGGACAAATAGCATTTAAATGGAGAATTGCACCCCCTAGAAGTCTCTGTACGTACAACCCTCCATGTTCGGAAATTCTATTTTCAACATTGGAGAGGAACTCTAGGAGCTGAATTCCCCTGCCTGCTGTAAAACATCACATACAGCAGTGTTGAAATAGTAATATAACAATAGCAGCAGCAACAAGAGAACATAAGTAGCAATAACAAGTGCAAGTAGCCATTTTTTGAAGACGATGAAGAGCTCACCTGGTGCTGCCAGCTCATGAGATTTCTCAGAGGGTGCTGAATGACTGGATGGCTTTGCATCCCCTCCAGATGAATGTGGCACAGCAGATACTGTTGGTTTTGGAGGATGCATCTCTGCTGGCAAGTTAGAAACTGGATCTAAACAAAAGCAGTAAACAGAAAACCTTACACATCTTGGAAACAAGTTTTTTTTTTCTTTTTAAAATCAAGACTGGACTTTCGAGATGAAATGCAGCACAGGTGCATGTCAGATGTGGCTGCTCTATAATCACAGTGGGGCAAAGATACACATACACATTATGCCTTTAGCCTTTACAAACAGATTTGAACACGAGCCTCCTATAGGGTGTTTGTTAGGATATAGTAAGTTTGAAGTGTCTGTGTCTGTGCATATCCCTTTCTGGGCAAAGAAAGCAAGAGGCATAGTCAACCTCAGCTTCTAGATGGGGTGGGACACTGCCTTTGATTCCTGCCTTGTCAGTAAGGCAGAACCGCTGGTTCCTGGGTGAAAGGCTACAGATGGAAACTCCTGACAAGGCTACTTATCTTGGATTGCCCCTTTCACATATCAAAGGTTGCTTACTGGCTCTTCACAGAGTCAGAGGGACCTGATGCTTCAACCCCTTTCCTCAGCACTCACATGCAGCCTGCTGACATGTGAACTCTGAGGGATCAGAAGAAAGCCCATTCCACAAGGGAATATTTTTGTTGTTGCATATAACCCAGGTCAGTAATTCTTTAAATTACTTTTAAAATGTCTTTAAATTATTTTAAAATGCTGAAGAGTATCTGGGTATCATTTTGCATATGTACAAGTTGGATGAATGGCTTCATCCCACTTCTGGGCAGAAAAATAAATTACTGTTACAATAACACATAGGGAATCCAAAGCATACCTTGGATGACTGTTTGTTTGAAGAGCTCATCACGCAGTTTTGGCAAAAAGCAATCTATGCGCTCCCAGGTGATTTCCCAGAGATCTGAATAGCCTGTTCGAGAGTCAGCACTGTGGAATATTCCAGCTGTGTCCATTACTAGCAGCATATTTTTCAGTGATTCAGGGATGGCCTCTGGCTGGAAAACAAGACATGTCTAAACGGTGAAATCTGAGACTGCAGTGCTTGTTTTCCTCTTTGGCCAAAGCTCTTTTTTGGATTACTCTGCAGGGTCATCAGGCCCACCCAGGAGGCCAAGAGGCGTAAAAAAAGAAAATGACAGACAAAGAAGATACCCTTAGGCATTACAGATTTTTAAAAACTGGAAGGTTGAGGAATAAAAAGAGACTACTGGCAAAAAAGGTGTTTTCGTTTGTTTTAAAGTTGGATCTGGCCAACAGAGCTACTATAAAGCTGAAATAGCAGCAAAACACATACCAACAGGTCACTGGAGCCAGAATGCATGTATTTGTCCATGAAATCCAGAATTGTCAGCCACAAAGCAGCAAATGTTGGGAGGGAGAGTAACGGAGACAAGTGCTGCAGGAAAACCTAGATCAGAAAAGAATTCAATAAGGGCTGGACCAAGGGAGAGATAGTAAAATCCAGGATCACTGTCTTTATTCAATAGGATACACCTAGAATTACTTTTTCTAGATGACTCTTCCTTATAGGAACTCAAACCTTTGGAACCAAAAATATGAGGGTAATTGCATCTTATCCAAGTCTTCCTGACTTTCAGATTGACCTAAATGCTCCCTTCTTCGTTTAAAATAAAATCTAAAATCCTGTGACCACAAGAGACAATTCTGCAACATTTTATTTAGAATAAAAACTATACCGCTTTCTAAAGCTTTTTAGTATGTACGGTGAATGGAAATGAGTCCCTACCCTCACCCCCACTGCTAATACAGTGGCGGAAATCTTCCTACCTCAACTACAGAAGGCCCATCGAATCAGTAGGGAATTGGTGAGTCAACTCCTCTGTAAATTCCATTGATTCAAATGGACTTACTCTAGCTCCAACTTACTTTAGCTTTATAGTTGCACTCCCAGATCTGTTCAAACATTTTTTCAAATGAGGGCAGTGAGCACAAGCAGCTACGATTGGTGTATGTTTGTGTGTTCTGAAGTGCACTAACACCACCATCTTTACACAATCACATCTACACACAATCCTAACAGTGTAGTAGTAGTCCAGTAAAGTTTCTGAAGCTAAGCTGTGTGAAAGAAAACAAAGTACAAGAATACACTGTTGCAGGTTTTTCTCTTCATCCTACAGTCTGTGAAAAGGCTGAAGCAGTGGCTGCATGGGCATGTCTATACTAATGAGTAATCTCAGTCTGAGCATTCCCTGGCACCCTCATGGCTGAAGTGTCCAGGACAGATCTTGACTTTATTGGTGAGCTCAGTTGTCACTCACTTTCCCCTGTGGCACCAGTAACTCAGACTTCTTAAGCTGCATATTATTTTGTATTTCTCTTTTTCTGAATTCACATTGTTGACCACCTTGTGAACCTACAAATGCTGCTCTGGGGTGCTGCTCTGTTGCACCACTCCAAAGGTGAAAAGCAGCTCTTTATTCTACCTGAAATTGCAGATAGATTCTGCCTGGTTTTGCCCATATGTCTGAAGACAGTGCATGTACCTTATCGGAACATTTAATATGATGTACTAAACATTAGGCTGGAAAGTTTCACCTTCTGTAAAAGCGAAGTAAGAAGGCTCTCACCTTGGAGAGAAGAGTTGAGGCTCTCATTCTGGTCTCTTCCATCCCACCAACATCTGCTGGGCTGATATTTTCCAGGAGTTTGGTCAGCAAAGGAAACAGTACCTAGAGGTAGGAAGAAGAGACAAACCTAAAGCATAGATTAGGATCAGGAAGCCTTTTTGCGGTTGTATTCTTGGCATGAAACAAAACATGATGAAGGAGGCAACAGACCTATCAACAGATAAGGCATTATCAGCAAAGTTGGAGGGCAACAATGTAAAAATCAGGCTGTGCCATTAAAATATGTCTTCTCCTGCAAGGCAGAAAATTATGCTGATTCCTTTCAGACACTCCCTCAGGCTAGCTATTTTACACTGATTTAAACTGGCAACACATCCTTCAGTGAAATAGTTACCACCAGGAGAGACCAGATGCAGAGATTTACTGTGACACTGTTGGGATATTTGGTGGCTGCAGCCATGTGACAGAGGTTTCATGTGTTGGTTCTGCCAAATGCACCTCCCCGTGTCCCCAAGCAATGCCTCCCCTGAGATCCCTCAAAGAATCTAAGATAGAAATATTTATCCTATGGTTACTGTTCAGAATCTAAAGGGTGAAACCAACTCACCGATAGTTACCTAGTGGCAGTCATTTCACCAGGCTGCACAGCAAAGGAACAGAAGAGGAGAAGTTTCCTCTGTTCCCCCTGCTGAGTCACCAGCTACCTTGGGCCCTCCTACAACTGTCAGCATAAGCAACACCCATTCCAGCCGGTCATTGTAAGAACAGTTACTTTTAAAAGTGGGGCCTGCACTTTTTCCCCTTGCCTCCATCCCTTTTTCCTTAAAAATCTTTTGCTAAAGAGTTGGATGGCCATTCTCCTCCTCATCCCTGTCCTCATTAGTTGTGATGGCATGCAGCTTTGACAGCTCATAACAATCACACTTCACAGGATTCTTTGAGATGTACCATTTTCTGCCCTTGCTCAGACATACTGGAAGCTTCACGGCACTTCAATAACCCTGTTGCAAAAGCACCTTCTCTCATAGAAAAAGTCCTTCTTTGGCCAGCTATGAATGCTTATTTGGCATTTGTGGCTAACCAAAATGCTAACCAAGTCCTAGTGCAGCCTGCACATTTACTGGAGCCATGCTTCCACTGGTCAATCTGCAGCCCAGAAAACACTCCACCATATCTGGTCATTGCTTGTTGTCACAGTGACAGAGCCTTGCTAGCAGGGCCTAGGAAACTCTATTATCTTGTAGTGGCAAGCTACTGAAGTTAAAGGCTGTCATGACTGCAGAAGCAGAGTGAATCCAATCCTCCTCCTCCTCACATTCCTATTGCTTTCTCTGAAAAGACAAGCTTCTCTACCCCTTTTCCACGTTGACTTGGAAAAATAACAATACCTTATTGAAACAGGATTCCCACTCCAAGGCATCAAGAGCTTGCAGGTCATGCACAAGGAGAGCCCGCTGCAGGTAGGTCAGGGCTTGCATCCGCACCTGTCGCCGTGCATCACAACACAAGCAGGCAATACCTGTATAGGACACAAGATAAAATGAAGGGGAAGATCTGCATTCTTCACCAAAGCAGCTCAGTCCTTCCTTATATCCATCAACAATCTACTCTTTTACACCCACTTCTCAAAAGTCATGGAATTGCTAGATGCTCATTAAATGTAGCAAAGCCAAAATGTCCCTTTAAAAAGGGGAAATATACTGTTGGAACTGAACTGACATTCTCCTCAGAAGTATATGTGTGCAACTGGCATGAAGCTGAGGTTGGGAAAGTTACTTTTTGGACTACAGTTCACAGGTTGCCCTAACTAGCGTGGTCAGTGGCCAAGATGACTGGGAAATTCCAGGACCTGAGATCCAAAAATGTAACACTTTCAGTTTCTAGCACAGAGTAATAAAGTTACATTTTTAAAAATAAGGAATCTCTGTTCTGTTCACCAATTAGTTTAGAACATATAGCATCTGGCTTTTTGTTTCCCTAGTCTTAGTGTGTCTGAATGAAACTTTTGTGTAATATTGTTCTTCTCTGAAAGGCTATTAAATACATTTCTGCTCTCTTATGTTCCATTCCAATAGACACAGCTGCATGTCCTTGTACTCTAGAGTTTGCCAGTTTTACCTTGCAGCAGTGGGCACCAGCAGTTGGCCCATAAGGTCCGAGAATCTGCTTCAATTTTATTCTCTTCAGCCTCTAGATGGTGCTGTTCCTCTGCCCAAGAATTATAAATGGTAGCAGCTCGTGTATGAAGAGTATGCATTAGATCCAGCAGCTGCAATTGGAGAAGGAAAGTAGGCAAAGAACAATAGTTAATCTGTCTGTCTGTGAACAAAACAAAACATCCTTGACAATGCTCTGGGTGAAAGGAAAGCACCTCTGTGATCTTCATCTTGGATGCCTTTTTTTTTTTTTAAAGCAATTATCAGAAAAGAAAGGAACAAGAACAAGTAGATAGGCAATGTCCTTCACAGGACTGAGAGAAGATACTCATTTGAAAGCATATTCTGAAGTCCCAGGAGAGACTCTTAATTTGTTTAAGGAAGCATGTTTATGAGAAAAGGACTCAGTTTTATACACTTCTGTTTCTTCAGATTATCTGGCTTCTTGGCTAGGTAATTTGCCTGTACAATTTTACAGGAGAATATTCTAACAAGGACAAAAATATGTAGGCAAGAAATATCACATTTTAATCACAACAGAAATTAGATTAGATTAGGCATCCTTCAGTCTTGAGAGACTATGGTAATGTGCTGTGTACGGAGGACTTGGAAAAGCGTCTAATGTGGCTGAGAAGGCCAATTTGAGAGTGATAATCCCTTCCACACTGAGGACAAATACAATCTTCTCCCAGTCCAGCTCCCTGATTTTGCTGGTTTCCGGACTGCCTCTTTGCCTCAGCCTGCTGGACAAGGGTCTCTTCAAATTGGAGAGGCCATGATGTAATGCCTGCCTCCAGGCTGAATGCTCAGATGTCAAGGTTTTCCATCTGCTGAGGTCCATTCCTAAGGCCTTCACGTCCCGCTTGCAGATGTCCTTGTATCGCAGCTGTGGTCTTCCTCTGGGGCAATTTCCCTGCACTAAATCTCCATACAGATCTTTTGGAATCTGACCATCAGCCATTCTAGGTGCCTGAGCCTACGTAGATGCCACTGTTTCAGTAATGTATACATGCTAAAAATTCCAGCTCATTCTAGTACTACTCTATTTGAAACTTTGTCCTGTCAGGTGATACCAAAAATACGTTTCAGACAATGCATATGGAACATGTTCAGCTTCCTCTCCTACCATGCACAAAGGGTCCAGGACTCACTTCAGTACAGGAGTGTAATCGGGACACAGGCTGTATAAACCTGGATCTTGGTGTATGCCGTCAGCTTATTAAGCCATACTCTCTTTGTGAGTCTCTAGAGAACATGATAGCTGCTTTGCCAATGTGTTTATCTAGCTTGACATCTAGAGAGAGAGTGTCAGAGATTGTTGAGCCAAGATACACAAAGTCATGAACAACCTCCAATTCTTGTGTGGAGATGGTAATAGAAGGAGGTGAGTCCTCGCCCTGGCTCATGACATGTGTTTTCTTCAGGTTGATTGTTAATCTAAAGTCTTGGCAGGGCTTCCTAAAATGATTCATGAGTTGTTAAAGGTCTTCAGCAGAGTGGGCAACAATGGCTGCATCATCTGCGAATAGGAAGTCCCGCATGCATTTCAGCTAGACTTTGGTCTTCACTCTCAATCTAGAGAGATTAAAGAGCTTTCCATCTGATCTAGTCCCGAAATAGACACCCTCTGTTGCAGTTCCAATGGCGTGCTTCAGCATGACAGCTAAAAGATCCCAAACAGGGTCGGTGCGAGGACACAGCCCTGTTTCACTCCGAATAAACATTCCAAATACACAAACTCTCCAGTATCTTTTCCACAATTCTTTTATCTTCACCACAGTAATTGTCATAAAACCCCAAAAGATGTATTCCTTTAATTCAGACTGGACAGTTTTCAAGGATCCAGGTGTCAATGGCACCCCTTCATACCCATGATGGCACAACACAGGGTACTATTAAATGGTGGTGGCAGCAGGGTGGGGTGGGTACAATCCTGCCACACTGGACTAGCACTTGGTTTGAAATCCACATACTCCAGAGACACAAAGAAATGACTTTCAAAATGTTAAAGAAGGGGAACTATGTTATTCTGTTACAGCAAAGACAATAAAAAATCCTGTGGCTCCTTAAAGCCTAACATGTTTAATTTGTCATAAGCTTTCATTCACTGCAACCCTGTTCATCAGTGTAATTGCTGGTATGACAGGGAACAGAAATGCAAGAAATGTGAATACTGACCATTACTGTAAATGTGATAATTAATGAACAGTAGTTGAGTCATAACAGACATTCTTTAGAATAGGTACACTGAGAAAAACATGTACTGTGATGGAAGATCAAGTCAGGTAAATAAAGTTAAACTGGAATATTTGATGTTGTAAAATGTAAAATGTTTGTTTCATCTGCACCTCTAGAGGAAATATTTCCATCGTATAAGGCAAGAGTGCAATCATGTCCAAAAACAACATGAAGCAAAACAAAACAAAAAAACTATCTGGCAGCCATATATCCTAGAGCAGTGATGGCGGATCTATGGCACGCGTGCTACAGCTGGCACGCAGAGCCCTCTGTGGGCACAAGAGCCATAAGTCACCATTGAGAAATACTTACCCATCCTCTGATCCTCAGTTTTGGGAAGAACTCTTGGGAAGGGAGGGACAACCAAGATGGCAATGGTTGTCACCACCACAAACACAAATACACACACACACACACAGGTGGACGCCAGGCATGGAAACACCCGGCTCCTGCCACCTGCACCTTTAAGGATTGCAGCTGGAGACAGAGCAGGGAACGTCCTGGGCAGACATTGGAGGTTATGCAGTGGGAGGAATGGGACTCTTCAGGACAGTCGTGGTTGGTTTTGTGTTGCAGTTCGGGCGCTCGGGCTCAAAAAGCTTCGCCATCACTGCCCTAGAGGGAGGAGGGTGCTTTTGAGGGCGGGGATGGATTCCCCCCCCCCCAAATTTGGAAATGCATGGAAGCCAAATCTGAGTACTTGGCCACACTCTGCCCACCACTTTTTTCAAAGAATCTCAGTAGATCCAGGACCAAAAAACAAGCAAACAGATCTGTAGGTTCATCGATCAATGAAGATCAGCATTGTGCTAATCTCTATAATAATGCAAGAGCCACAACATTCTTAACATCACATGACTTAAAAAACAACATTAATTCTACACATTCCTTATTAACTTTGCCTCCCATGAAAAATATTGCATGGCCTACTTCAATAACCCATCTTGTCATTTACTAGACAAAATCCCACACCATAGTCTCAATTCTCTATCATTTACAGAATTACTGTTACTCTTCAGTCATTCCATCTGTAAACAGATATGGCTCTATTACTGGAGAGGGTGATACAGAGTTTTTTCCAAGGTTGCTTTCAACTTCAGCCCAAAGCAACTGCAATTAGGAAAATCAACAAAGGAAAGGCAAGGAAGAAATCCTGGCTATACTTACGTCCTGACTAACCTGTAAAGACACAGTGTGATAACTGGCAGGGACACTCTCATCCTCATCCTCATCCTCATCGGGGGAGCGGTGCTGGTGTTGGCTGGACACCCTCGAATGCCTATGAGAGTTCTCCTTTGCTTTCTTCTTGAAACGAGTTGATTTGGGGTCATACTTATGGCTCTTTCCCCGCTTCTCCTGGGACTTGCACCCTATGAACACAACACACTGTTTTAGGTCATGGTTATCTACATACCCTGCCCCCAAATCAGATCTTAATGCAACATTAATAACTTGAAAATCCAGCTCAAGGAGCAGATTAACTTCTTAAAACAAAAAAAGAAAGCTGAAACCTTTTGTTGGTATAGGGCAAGATCTACATTCTAATCATTATGGTGTTAATGTGTTTGTTTTAACTGAAATAGATCTTACCTGGAAGTATGGCCTACTTTAGAGCAAATAAGTTCTATCTCTCTTCCCAGTAAGACTCCACAACATGGGTTACAGTATTTGCCGGTGCACAAGGCGACCGGCCGTATAAGACGACCCCCCCAATAGGAGGAGGAGGAAGAGGGGAAACGGGGGTGGAGGGTGAGCGCGCAGCTGGCTCAGCGGTGCGGGGCAGCGGGCAGCCCAGCGGCGGCTCAGGCATGGCAGCGAGAGGGTGAGGAAGAGCAAGAGGCTGAGGAGGAGGAGGAAAAGGGAAACGGGCGAGGGGGCAGGTGGGCGAGCGCGCTGGCTCAGCAGCGAGAGGGAGAGGAAGAAGGCAAGAGGCGG